AGCAGGTTGGTGAGTAGCAGCGAGGGGCACAGAGGTCTGAAACGGATGTTTCTTGTGAAGTGAGTCACAAGAGGGGGTGGATTCCAGCCAGGAGAGCCCTGCAGGGTGAAGCACACATACGGCCCCCCTCACTCAGTTGAGGTGAGCCAAGGTCCTGAGGAGCAGCCGAAGCACAGACACAGTGCAAACCTCTCCCACCACGGGACCTTTTTTCCTGTGCTTTTCTCTGGAACTCTGGAAAGAGCTAAGTATTCACGCTGCTTTCCCTTCCCTTCCTGCACGACAGCTAATAGTGGTGCGGACCTTGCGCTTCACTTGCATTTTATCACGTTTGCATCGGGGCACGGGAAAGTTCAGGCTCATACTGGGAAATGCACGCTTGGATGAGGATGACGCCGCTGGGACGTGGCAGGACATTAATAGCCCCCGGGGTGCTTGGGGACGAGGGTTGTGCACTGGAACTAGTGACATGCCGAGAAAAGGTGTGTCTGATCCAGTACCCAGATCCTCTGCCAGTACACGCCCCGTGGAGCTGGTATGCAGTGACGGCATCGTATATTCTCTGGCTGCTTTCAGGAAACCCGAGTGGTCACACATGTTTTCACTGATAAGGATCTTGCCACACCCAGGCAAGAGAGTCCTGCCCCGGTGTTAAAGAGAAGCGGGACTGTGACTCCTCGCTCTCGATCTGGAGGCACTTAGTCAGAGCCTCGTTTTCCCCAGCTATAAAATGGGTTAGCAATACATCGTTGAGATTATGTGTTTCTCAGGTGTGGGATTTCACAGGCAACCATTAAACGAAATTTATTGTACTGAGAGAAGGTGCACAGTACTTTGAGAGCCTGAAAAGACTGCATTTAAATGCTTATTTTAGCTTTTATTGTTGGAGTGATTAGAAAAGCTGTTTTAAAGGTCTGCATACAAGCATCATACCTGTATGTATAGTATAAACAGGCTCACACACACATAGAGTTAATCCTTTAAGATCATATCTACTAGAAAATGCCTTTTCTTTCATATTTTCTATTAATCCTATATATTGCCTACTTAAGAAGTCACAGGTTACTTAGAAGTCTAAATATTTTATGTGGAGTTACTGAGCCAACACCAAGCTAAATCCCAGGGGTTTGTGACCATACAAACATGGCTGAAGTGGGACATTACAGCTGACACACACTGCTCTGTAATTCATGTGTGTACACATCTCATGTCCAAGAGGCTCTGCTCTGGAGATGAAGACACTTCGAGGCCATAGATGGTGGTATATGAAGCAGGAGAATGGAGAGGGTACAACGAGGAGGGAGGAGTAGGCAGACAAGCCCATGGAGAGGAAGAACTCTTAGGGAAACCCCTTCCACACCTCTCTGTCACCTCTGACTCATGAGCCATGCCCACTGGACAAGCCCCTGGCACTGAACACAAGTCACCTCACTGGCTGCTTGCCTGCTTGCAGTGAGGTCTGTATTTCATGCATTAAAGCATCACCACTTCCTTCTTGCTCAAGGCTCTCTGCTACACTATATATTAGACACTATGGAAGTAAAGGGACAACACAGCCCTTCTGTGGTCACGGGACTGCGGCCTCATTGCAGTGTTGCTGCAAGAATGGAATGTAGGTAGACAGATGACAACCAGTCATCCCAAGACTGGCAGTAGTTTCTACCTCTGTCTCCAGCATAATGGCTTGGCTTTAACAGAGAGCACAGACCACCTTGTGTTAATGAGTAATAAAAGCAATCGACCCACAGTGCATTCATTGCTGAGCTGAGGCTGTGTGTAGTCAAGGTGACAAGGCTGTTATGTTAGCAAAGTTTTGGTGCATCAATGCCATGCAGAGTAAAAGCCCAACAAGGCCAAGCTCTGACAGTTAAGTATTAGAATACCCTAAAGCTTTTGTTAGTGTCAAAGTACAGTTAGCATATGTAGTACAGCCTACAAATCCATTGGAAAGCTGCACTAAGTCATGTCAGCCAGGTTTTAGGCTATACAAAGACATCTTGGGAGGTTATTTTGGGAGAGCTGTTTTCCAAAGCTGAGGGGACATCTGTCATGCAAGTTAGGAAGGCAGACTATGATGAGAAACTGCAACAGACTTTTGATTCAAGAAGATGCTGACTTATTTAAAATAAATAGTATTAAACATGCACCTTGCCAGTTTCTACTGAATAAAGAATATTGTATTCTTTCCAGTAACTCTGTCAGATTCCATGGAACTGTTTGGACCTAAAGAAGGACTAGATATTGGATTGGCCTCTCTGCTAAGTGAAAAATCATAAACCATCTTCATTGTGTTGCACACACTGGAACAGTCTTATGCCAGGGAAAACTGGAGGATCCCGACCTGCTCTGCTGCTGAGGCCGGGATGCTCCTTAGCCCTGAGTTAGATGCAAATGGCTGGAGCCACTTCCTGTCCCCGGTGACTCATGATCAGGGAAGCACCGGCATCCTGCTCTGGAAGGGTCACTCTCCTGCCCTGCAGGGAAGGTGAACACAGGGAGGTGGCTGGGGCTGGGACAGCAACACAAATTGCTGGGCATATGGAAAATAAACAAGACTTTGCCATGACAGCTATGGAGAGATGAAGCGAAGCACATGCGGCACTACCTCACATGCTGCCTTCATCCCTTAGTGGAGTTTGCTCCTTGGTCTGACATAGATGGACATTTGGTAGACTAAGCTGGAAGATCAGATTGTGATGTGCCCATCAGAAAAGCTTAGAAACTCCTCTCTGGCTATTACCATGGTCCTACCCCTGCCCTGGGAGAGTTTCACTTTCCAACTCTGTCAGGCTTTCATTGAGACATTTTCAGCATACACCAAGTAAGGAAAAATGACCCCTTTCTTTCCAGCTGGGCTCTCTGAAAGAGGCTTGTATTTGGGTACAGGACAGAATGAGAAGGCAGGGAGATTCATATGGCTGTAATACATTTCCTGGCTAATCCAGACTGTTACTGTCAAGTTCAGGTCTTATCATCTCTAATTCTGATTTTGGGAAGGCTCCCTCAGTTTTTTCAAGCCTTGTCTGAGCTCACTTTTTCTGAGTTGCCACTAATAACAACTGACTAGAATACCTTTAAAAAATGGGTGCAGACACAAGGTAATGTGTGCACCCAGTGAAGACAAGTATAGGAAGATGATGTATATTGTCAGTACCTGCCTCATATAAATACAGTCTATTTATGTGTCTAATTAAAGCCTTTATGGGACCTGTGTGGCCACTGCCACCTGTGGATCAGAACTGTTAAAAACACAAATCCATCTTTGTCACAGAAAGCCATGAAGTGAAATCATGAAGGTTTATTTGACTTATACAGACATTTGGATACCAGAAAACTCAGTGGAAAGCATCATATACACATAATCATATCAAGACAAGCAGCTGGTAAGGAAGGAAGAGGAAAAGTTCCTCGCTTGTCAGCTTCTACAAATAGAACTAGGAAACAGAAAGCAGAAAGCTAAAGGATCAGAGTCTCCTGCATGCCCTGACTTTATGACCTGGGACTTTTATTCTCTACTTAAGTCTCCCAAAGTACATTCTGAGGACCTATTCCATGGTGTGACCTCTGAGGAATGGTGTGAGCCTGGGATCAAGGGTAAAAATTGTTCTCTCTGACAGTAAAACCACCTCGTGAAGTTATGATAGGGATACTATGGGTTATATATTGTAGTAATAATAAACTTCTCATTGCTACAGTATTTGGAGGGAAATCCTGGAGAAGAGGAAGCTTTGAGCAGTTCTGTAAAGGTACCGCTTGGCTCCATCTGGAGGTGAAAGCTGAGATAACAGACACCATCAGTTTGGGCAAGCTACTGTAAAGAGGTGAAAGCAGAGCAAGAATCTGCTCCTCTGCTCTGTGTTGAAGATTTGCCCATTCAAGGCAGTATTTTGCTGCTTCTCGTTATATTAAACAACAACAACAAAAAAAAGATCATTGAGGATGCGATGATTTCTGTGCATTTGTACCTTTGGGGTGGGAGGAATTTCTAGTCCCACTCTCCCCTGGTATTCCTGAAAGGTGCTCTTTGTATCCTGATAGATTTCTTAGCACTGCATGAGAGGAGACACAGAGGAGCCTTTTACAGAGCCCCAACCTTCTGCCCCCGGCAGCCTGTGTGACCCCTGATCATCCGGGGAGTCCTGCAGGGAAATAGGAATGTTGCAATCACAGTAATCAAGCAGGGAAAATCCAATAAACTGAAATCCTCCAGACTAGCACTAGCTTGAAAACTTCAAGATTTCCACATGGGAGCTGTACTCATGCCACAAACAAATTGAAGCCCAGAGCATGAGAAGCACTGAGGTTTGACTCAAATGAAGAACACAGAGCTCTGTATCTGAGCTGGGGTGGTGGTTTGCATTGGCTCTGAAGGCCCATGACCACTACCTTTTCCCTTCCCTCTTCAGTAACATTCCTGCATTGAACTAGATCATCATTGCATCAGTGTGCACAGTAACCAAGCTACCTGGGATCTACTCTGAGACAATTTGTAGTTGCTTCCTGCTAAGGCATGAACCAAAGAACAGGAACAAACATGTGTGTGCACCTGAGAGCTCTTCTGTGTGTCCCTATGCAGTGCTCAAAAATTCCGCCCTGAAGAACAACTTTTGATTCTCTTCTCTAATCCCTACTATGACAAAACCTGCCATGACACCTGCTTTCCCTGCAAGTCCAGGACTCCGTTTACCTGCATGTCACTTCTGCACTACCCCATTTCTCTTCAGTCAGGCATGACAGGAGCTGTAACGGTGCGGGGCGGATTGGCTGCAGCAGCTCCCGTGGGCGCGCTCACCCTCCTCCTGACCCCGTGGCAGGAGAGCGCTGCTCCTGCAGCCATCACTAACAGATGGCATCTGCACAAGTGAGAAGGTCCTGCTGCTCGTGGTCACTGGGAGAGGGTAGTGGTGACCTGGGATACTAAGGCTCTGTCTCTTCCTCAGCTTTAAGAACAAGGCTGGGCACTGCTGTTCTCACTCCCCTGGATGTGCTGAGCACCTGCTGGCATGAGGTTTTTTCTCCAATATGTGGGCTGCTTTTTTGCTTTTTTCTCTGCTGGGTTTTTGATAACATCTACCTGGACAGACTGCTGGATGGTAAATGCTGATGACTCTCTGGAGGTAAGATTGGGGTGAGGACAGCCTGATCACCAAAACCAACATGTCTTAGGGAGAGTTTGGTTCCTGGTGTCATTGCTCCACTCTTATGTACTTTTTCCTGTTGTACTGGATGAAAGTAGATGAAAAGGAAATAAATTACTCTGTCAAGAGCAGGAAAAAAATGGTATTCTATGTAGTCCCCTTTATTAGTCCCTAGCTTTATTATCCAGACCCTACTCTCACTCAGTAAGTTCAAGAAAGGTCTACAGGCTCTAGGTTTATATGTGCATGAACTTGAGTACAGTTATCCTGTGTTTCCAGCCTGCATGGATATTTTGGAGATGTTTCTGGTTCTGTAGGTCAGACTTCCTGGTGGAAACATCCACCATGTACAACTGTGCTCTTTGTCTTTTTTCTTAACAGCCACTGAGCACCAGGGCTAGCAGAAATTTAAGGGGGCCATGGGGACTCAATACCTTTTTGAACTTGTGCGGACAATAGCACTCTCATTTTAGAGAAAGGTATCAGCAAAAGTAAATTGCACATAAGGGAGAAGATTGCTGCTTACATGCCAGGTGTGCCCCAAAGACTCCAGGCCCCAAATCACCACTGTTTCTGCAGCACTCAGTACTGCAAATTTGTAATTTTCTTCCTAGCACAGCCATCTATTTCTATACATTTAAGGGCCGCACAGCCACAGTGTGGGAATCTGCTCTCTGGCAAACTGGATACCTTATGTAGTGGAGGTGAAACACCTTCCAAGATAGAATGTTTGGATAAATATATCAGGAAGAAACTTTCTATCTGCTGATCAGCATAGGAAACCAGAAGAGCTCCTCTACACTCAGTGATTGCAATGCAGCATCTAGGTGCATCACATGAAGAGGTGAATTTTATGAAGAAAGAAGAATAAAACTGATTGCAAGAAAAACACCTTTTTTTTTTTTTCTTTATGCCACAAGAAATCTTGATAATCTGACTGTCAGTCCTACCCTGAAAGGTGGTTGTGTATGCTGAGGTGGTGGTCATAGATCCAATGCAAAGCAATTGCTGATGGTCAGCATGTCTGCTCAGTGAACCTCTTTACAGGGAAAATAGTGTGCACCCAGTGATGCTGGATGGGATTTCACTTTTAATTTGGGAGCTATTTCAGGTTTCTTTCAGGAACATGTGAATTGTTTATAGTCAGATGAAGATATCAGTATACTCAGAAAAGCCAAGTGAATCTGATTGTGAGGAAAATCAGAAGAGGAAAACCCAGCTCCTGAGCAAAGTGAGTCCAGGAAAGAACTAGTCCATTACCCTGAGGCTGTGTAACCTTGTCTTCTTGGCACAAAGGCACCTGCTGATGGGCTGTCCGAAGTGCTCCATTAACACTGAGTTTGGTTATTAGCAGCCACTATTCTCACATTCCTGCTCTGAGTGTGAATACTAAACAATGGAGCAAAATGCCCCCAGCCTTAATACCTGACCACTGATCTCCTTAATGACCCTAATGACTCACTGCCTCTCTAAACAGGGAAATGCAGTGGACTGTCCATGGCCATAAAGGCCTCGGGGTCCACAATGGCTCTTGTTTTCTGCCGGAAAAAGGGTAAGTCAGGCAAGTTTAACTCCAGAAGGGAACTGCATCCTACAGCAGCTGTAGCTACTGATTCTGGTCTGGTTGCTTGGCTTGGACCCTGGCCCCCAGCAGATGGGGGCGATGAAGCCCTCGCTGTGGTACCACTGGAGAGGAGCAGCCCAGGAGGAAGAGGTCAGGGAGCACCAGGAGCAGCCACTTCTAGAGGGGCTTCAGGGGTCCTGGCCAGAGCTCAGCTCTCACAGCCTCTCACCTCCCCTTCAGAAACAACAGGTTATAGCCACACAAAAAGTTGTTTAACCTGATGACTCCTTGGGAAGCATCAAGACAAGGTTGGGTCAATTTTTGCAGCAGTTTGTGCTGCAAAAAGCCCATAATCTGCTTCCCAACAAGCACTCCCTGCTGCAGGTGGATTATAAATATTACCACTACTGTTAAACACTGCCTGTTTTACTCTCGAGCTGGGCTTGTAATCATCATATTTTGGCACCTTTTCACAGTCTGCTGAAACTCTGTGACTAATGTCATTCGCGTGTTTGTCTTCTCCGCTTTCCCCAGAAGGAGAAGTGTGTGCTTGTTCTGGCTTTTTTTTTATTTGTATGAGAATTATTTTAATATTAATTATACATTATGAATAGGATGTAATTATATATATTACAGTCATTATGCAGTTCGTGTTTTACATGCATACTTGCATTAGGGAAAGCAGGTCGTGGCAATGTGTTTCGTAATCGAAGTGGGAGATGGAGGAGAGTGGCAGAGGAGCTTAACTGCTCAGGGAGTCCTTGGCTGGGCCCAGGAAAGCTGGGGCAGATTTGCTATGGGAGGAGAGGGTTGATGGGGAATTAGTGCTACCAACACGGTGTGCAGGTCCAGCCATGGGATGGAGAAATCCATAACCCCACATGATACCCCAGCCATCCCTGATCCCTCTCCCCTTTACAGCAGCGAGTTCCCATGTGCCTGAAGATTTGTGCTTTCAGCACAAGGGCAGATGCCCAAGGGTCGTTTGGGAGCAGGTTAACAACCAGGAGGACCAACAACCAGGTGCACAAAACAGAGGGGAGAAAGAGTTGGTCAAGGAGGTTACAAGGCAGAGAAGATAAACCAGAATAGCTCAGTGGTGGCTCAGGGCAGCCACAGGTCCCCACTCCAACATCTGTTCCCATTCCTCCTGCACTAGGCAATGAGACATTTATCCCTGGATGTGCACAGGCTGCATGGAGATGGGCTGATCCCTGCTTTGCCCATGGTCAGTACTAGCAGCAGTAGGTGACAACTGCAACATCCCAAGAAATGCAAAACATTTATCAAGTTTTTGTTAGTCTGGGAAGGGAGTTATTTCACAAGCAAGACCGTGATCATAATTGTTGCGCCTTAAGAGCTCTGCTTTGCTTGGAGGCTGACAAAGCCTGGAATCCTGTTAGTCTCTTCATAAATAATTTAGAGAAAGATGCTGCTTGTAAGATTTAAAAAACAATACTATTGCAACCAAGTAAGAAAGTAACTGACATTAGTAGCTGAATACAGAGTACTATGAATAAGCCTGTGGTGGTTTGGGAGGAACATGAAATGATATAAATGTAAGTGGGACAAAATGTAGTTTCATAAAATAAGCTAATTTCAAGCACAGCCTGAACAGTGGTGAGTTACAACAGGAGCAGAGCTGCAGCTGCATTAAAAGGACCACAGTAAAAACATATGTAATGTGAATATGGCAAATTGTTTTACATGACACTGTTCTCTTGACAAACACAGAAACAATGAAATCATTTTTTTACCACTGCTTCTCATTTTTTGTGATATTGTTCATTAAACATAACCAGAAATTCTCAGAATTTTTAAGTACTTTATCTTCATGAAACAAAATGTGTAGATTGTTTTCATTCAAATATAAATAGTATCTCTTTTGCTACTTTGAAGTAGTGAGTCATTTTACTCACCTTTGATCCACAGAGCAGCATCACAGAACAGTTGCACTGTTTGGCTCAGACATTGTATTGTGGAGAAAATATTGCGGCTGGCTACAGACTTCAATACATCCTGAATAAGATTTTATTAGGTGCTTGAGATATGTTATTATCTGCTTTGTGATTTACACAGTGCAAGAAAAATTAATTTATTGCATCATCCAAGCAAGCCTGGTCCCCTTTGCCTGTGTGAAACTCATTTGATGGAAGAGTTTCTACTTCCATTAACTGCAGTGGGTGTCACTGGCAGCAGTGGGCAGGCTGGAGTCCAAAGCTGCACCAGCAGCAGTACCTCTGCTCCTTGTATGAGCAATTCCAGGAATGTTTTAAATGTGCTTGTTGCCATATTTGCATTGGTAATGAAAATACCTCCCATATTAAAGTGATTTATGGAAGGCTGGGCTTGGAATGGTATCTACGGCTTCAGGACAGTGGAGACTATGAGCCATGATGCTACTGCAACATCTGCCCCAGTCTGGATGTTTCAGCAATGACTGTGGCTTGGGCACGCGTGGTCCCAGAGCTGGCAGCACACCTGGAGCCCCAGGGCCAGGATCAGCACTGGCTGCCTCTCATTTTCCATCCAGTGTTTACAGCTGAGTCATTTGGAGGCAGCACTGCACAGGTGTCTGCAGAGGGGCTCACATCCACTCCTCTACTTTGCACATCTCTCCCACTCTCTGAGCTGCTCCTTCTTGTCAGGAGGATGGTGTAAGGGGAGCATGGACAGCAAAGTCTCAGGTCATCTGGTCCATAGCCCTGCCCAGCTCAGCCTAGACAAGCATTTGGCAAGGAGTGATCAAACCTGCTCTTAGATCTCCCTGGTCAGCCACTCCCCAGCTCTTTCCAGAAATTTCCGTCAGAATTTTTATTCTTAACAATACACAGGGTTTGTGGTTTTTTTTCCCCTAAAGTCTAGTCTGAATTTCTTTTCCTCTAATGTAAAAACATTAGCAGGTACCCAGAAAACATTGTAACATTGTCCTTCATCCTGCTGCTTTCTCTTTTTCAAGCTAAACACTCTGGTTTGCCATCTATGTAACCTCCAGGACTCCTGTTGAAGGGCTAAACTGACCATCTGCTGTGTTGGTGGATGTTTAATCTTTATCTTCTCAATCCACAGGTGAGTACAAAATGCCGTGGCCTGTGGTGGGAATGTGTCACCAACGTTTTTGATGGGATCCAAACTTGTGATGAGTACGACTCCATCTATGCTGAGCACCCTGGTATGTAAGAGTCACAGATGTTTCTACAAGTGGTGGGGCCACCTGAGTGTAGTCTGAAAGAGGATCTGTTCTACACAGTGACAAATAATTAGAGGCATGTTTCTTTTCTCAGTAAGGTATTACTCCCAGAGGAAGCTGGAGAAAGCTTCACCCCAGAAAAAAATGTCATAGAGTCTGACCCCACTACCCCCTACATTTCCATTCTGTGTGAACTGGAATGCTTTGCTTTTGTCCTGCAGTGAAGCTGGTGCTGACCAGAGCCATGATGATCACAGCAGATATCCTGGCAGGATTTGGATTTCTCTTCCTTGTCCTCGGATTGGACTGTGTGAAATTCCTTCCTGATGAGCCACTCATCAAGCTGCGTATCTGCCTGGTGTCTGGAGTTATGTTGCTCCTTGCAGGTATTACCCACTGAGCCCCCATTCTTCAGGAAACCCTTTAACAATGTGGGGAAGCACTAAAACCTTCCCTTATTTTAGGGAGAGAGGTTGGGGATTTTCTGTATGGTAAACATGGGAAGAATCTTTATTTGATTTATTTGTGCAATATAACTTCCTCTGTTCACCACCTGCCCCTAACAGCACGTAGTTGAGTTTATCTGCTTTCAGTTCATGTACTGACCAGGTGACTGACTTCCATTTACTGCTATTTTACTGTGAAGCAGTCAGCCTTGTTGATAAAGCAGAGATCGAATTGCTGAAGGACTAGAAACTTCTGGCCTCCTGATTCTGTTCCTGGCTCTGCCACAGATTGTGTGACCTTGGGCAAGTCACTTAGCCCGAAATCTCTGCAACTGATCTCTAATAAAAGGATAATAACATGTCTGTCTCTCCTAGGTGATAAATACCCAACTGTCTGAGGTACTTTGCTGTTACAGCTAGTGGGAGAATTTTAAATACAGAATTAAATATCTGACTAGGTACCAAATAATTTCATTTGACTTCATGTCAATATCGAGCGGGTACCTCTGCTTCAGTGTGAGCAGATTTAATACATAAATCACCCCGGCTACTGGAAGCACATGTAAAACACTTTGAGAGGTTCTTTTAAACATCTTCCATTCAATTCTCAAAGTTTGTGTGACAAACACCATCAAAGTTTTGAAAATCAAAACAGATTAGAAACTTAAATTCTGGAAGCAATTTTACAACAAGTTGGTAAACAAGCTGAGAAGGGAGGAGCTTTCTGCCTTTTGCTGCAGAAACCTGAGCACTGCCAACCAGCGCTGGTGGTGTGTGCAGTGCCAAGCTGTGAGGTGCAGCTTCTGCCTGACAGCGCTGTGGCAGATATCAGCAGGAGCCAGCAGGAATCCGCCAAAGGCTGAGGCTGAAGTGGGGCCAGAACCTGCCATCTATGGAAGGTCTTTCCATCCTGAAGACAGTAGTTACCACTTCACATTTTGTTTGTGATCTTCTCGTGGTCCACCTGAGGGCTGTGTGGCACCTTGCTCCTGTCCTGCAGGTCTCCCGGGCATTACGGGCTCAGTGTGGTATGCAGTTGATGTCTACGTGGAGCGTTCCTCTCTGGTCTTCCACAACGTGTTTCTGGGCATTCAGTACAAGTTCGGCTGGTCGTGCTGGCTCGGCATGGCGGGGTCACTCGGCTGTTTCGTATCTGGGTCCCTGCTCACCTGCTGCATGTATCTCTTCAGAGGTGAGGAACCGTGGCAGGGCTGAAGCACAGTTCAGAGAGAGAGCCATTGCTTGGGGTGTGCTGCAGGTGCACAGGGTGGGGAAGGTCCTTCAGGAACATCCTTTGGGATGGTTGTTCATCCCCAGCAGCAATATTTTTGGCTGAAAAATGGGAGTAGTCTTAGGCATCTCTAGAAAGCAAACCAAAGTCTTCAGGTGGGAGCTGAGGTGTAAGTATGACATAAAATTTGTTGTTATTGTGTCATATCTTGGAGTGCTGCTTTCTCTGAATTATGAAGCTTTGCAGTTGAAAGTCACCAAGCACACATGAGCAGTTCCTATTTCTCTCCCTGTGTCTCACAGAAACCAGTTCTGGAAGATTCCATCCTGCTTATTCCTTGAGGAAAGGCTATTCCTCAGCTGCGACCATCGTAACAAATACGCATTTACCATCCTCACAAACAGCCACTGCCAAAATGTATGCAGTGGACACAAGAGTGTGAGGAGCAGGTAAGTACTCCAGAAAGAGTTCTGCTTTTATTTGTAGTGGATTGCACGGAGACCCAAGCTCTTGAGGGTGTGACACAGGTGCAGTTACATTTCAAGGATCTACTGTATGCTACAATGTTTGCATTAAGACAGCTTCAAAAAAGCCTTCCTTCAAGAAAGTAATCTCTGAGAAGATCTTGCTTTAGGGAATCCTGTTTTCTTGAGTGCTGAGGCCACTTGCATGGACTGAAATAACCAACACAAACTCTTTCAGCATTTGTCTCAATACTATTGGTACAAGGAGATAAATCAGCTGTTCCTGAATCAGACTACAGTGTTCTGCATGAAGATCCCCAGACTGCAAGATGGATCTGTTTCATGTCTGGTAACATATCAACAGAATGTACAAAGCAGAAAATGCTGTCAAAAAGAGGGACTGACTGTCTGACCAACGGCTGGACCCTGTGCACCCAGCATGGGGGTCTGCTTCTCTTGCAGGCAGCTGGAGAGTTCTTCAGAAGATAAGAGTTGTATTAAACATCTGACCCTTTCTTTGGTCCATGAATCTCTGCACTGAGAAAACACTGCACATCAGGTGTATTCTTTCCTGCAGAATAGAGTCCTTCTTAGTCAGTGTTAAAATGTACATTACGGATGCTCTAAACTCACCAAGATCTGGAAATTGCCAGCTTCATCCTGCTTAGTAGGGACATTGCTTGGACAAAGTGAGTGAAGATCCAAAATCTGACCTTGTGCATGACAGTATGTCTATATTAGCTAGAAACCAGGATAAATGATAGTAAAATCTGTTGTCCTTTTCTATAAAAAGATATTTAAATCCAGTTCAGGACCTACTGCAATCCATTCTGCTATAGGCTGGATGAGGCTGGAGCATCAGCCAGGTCTTCATTAGGGTGGGTGACAAAAACTCATTATAGTTTAACATGTTCCCAAAGGATGAATGTGAAAATTCTTCCATGCCTTTAATGAAAAGAGAAGCTTAGGCAGAATTTTCTTAGGGTTGGTAAGAACTGTCCAAATTCAGTTCTTTCTACAATGGGCACCATATTACAAGGTCATGGGCACTAGAGGTTGAGGAAAGGATCTCAGCACAGAGGTGTGTCTGCTCAGGGGCAATGAAGAAACAGCAGTGGAGTCTCAGCAGGGTGTGCACAGCCATGAATACTGAGGCACCACCAGAGGTAAGCTTCCTCCATGAACTGCTTGGTGGTGAGACTGGATTTTCTTCTCCCAGAGAGTATGAAGTGAAACCTTTTGTTATGTGGGCCAAAGGGGGATGGGATGGCTAAGGATGGGGTGGGCTGTGTCTCAAACATCACCTCTGATAGAAAATGATGGAAATGAAGGGCTGAGTCCTCTGATGGATTATCCTGGAAGCAGATCTTGTCCTGCAGCACAGAACTGATCAGCATCATTAAAACATAACCCAGTCCTGACATGGCTTGTAGTCAAGGAGTACTCAGGCCCTGGAACAGACAGGACAACAGCAGGTCCGTATGGATCTGCTACAGGCTCAAGCCCCTCCACAAGGCCCAGACCATAATGCAGCCATCTCAGCAAGAGCCCTCGTGGCAGCGCTGCTGCCCAGCCGAGGGAGGTTTGTGCCTGCAGAGCTCATGCTTCTTGGGTTGGCAGATGTTTATGTTAGTCCAACTGAAAGCAGGTTATTGCCAACAGATGAGCTGTATTGAACAGATGTAAACACAGTAGGAGAAGTGATGGAGGCTTTTTTATAAGGTCCTGGGAGACAAGGAATACAAGAGTTACGAGCGATGTGCTGAATTCACAGATTTCACCAAGAATGCACAAAGAGATTGGAGGTGACAGGGTTTTCTGCCTGTTACTGCATCCAGAGCTTGGTTGTTGTTGTTTGTTTGGGGTTTTTTTTAAAGTTTTTCACAGTCACATCAGAAATGTGTTGGTTTGGGGTTTTGGGGCAGGAGAGCTGACACTGCTGATATGCTCTGCTGGGGCAGGGAAGCTCTGGGAATACTTTTGAGTCTGTTTCCTGGGTTGTGCTCCTGCTCCCCTGCTCCTTCAGGGACACATTGGAAATGAGATGGAGGGTGAACACATCCTAAAGGCAGAGCTGTGCTCAGTGACTGCTCCACTGCCCACATCCCCACTCCTGCCCAGAGAGGCAAATGCTCCCTCAACCTCCCTGAGGGAGGAGAGATGCTGCAGTGCCACAGGCAGCCTCAGCCCAACTCACGCAGAGCACATACATGCTCCTGGGCAGGACTTACCTCCCCAGCCTATACAGCCACACATTATTCCTCCCCACAAACTCTCAGGGACATCCTCCAGCCTCTTGTTGCTGTTTTCAATAGCTTTTTCTGAGCATGAAGATTATTTCTTGCTGCAAAGATTTATTCCTTGTTTAGCAAAGGAGAAATGCAGATGTAATTGCAGATCTCAGACCATTGATTTCTCCTGTTCAGTAGTTGAGGAGAATTTTGGGCCTTTGTCCTAATGGTCTTCCGCTTGATTTAAGGTGGTGGGAGCTGTTTTGTGACTTGTAATGTGTGGGCCACAGCAAGTAGAGACTCAGTGGGCACTTTGGGATCTAATACCTATGCCTTGATCAGGGGTGAATATAAAGAACTGGTCTTATTAATCCCTGTAGCCCTGTGCTTCTTCTGGGGGTACACAAATAGAGCACATGCATACCCCAAATACTATCTTAACTCAGGGTCCATCCTCCTCAAATACACTTTGCATACAAAGAATATACAAACAAATGTTCCTGCATAAAAGAATATTGCATAAACACTTGTGAGCCTCTCTTCCCCAGTATCTGTGTAGAATAAGGGTTAATTTTTTATCCATATTTCTATTCTAGCCAAACTCTATGATAGGTTTTGAGAATGTATCTCCTGCACAAGAGGACCAGAAAGAGGTCACAGCAACCCTTAGGTTTGCCAGGTTAATGTTTTGTAACAACCAGTCCGGTGCTGCACTGCTTCATTATTCAGATGCTGCTGACAGTCCATCTGATGTTTTGATCAGCTGTTGATATTTAGTTGTTAATCCCTGTTTGATTTAATACTGACACTGGTTTCATGACTGCAGGATTCACTCCTCATTAGCTCATTAGCATCCCACAGTGCAGATCCGTTTTAGTTTAGTTGTTTATTCATTAGCAAGAAACCTCCCAGAAAGTACACAGGACTTATTTTTTCTTTCAAAATCACAACCAGTCCCTAAGGCTAAAGACATATCAGGTGAGCTCAGTTATTAAGTTATTTCCTTAATACCTACATTTCATTCAAGCAGTAGCTGACTAGGAATGACAATAGACCAAGGCTTTTTGCTCAATTGTAACTTCCAGCTGAGGCCCAGCATTTAATCCTTCGGTTCCAACAGCTTTTTAGGTTTCTCCAGATTTTCACTAAATTCCAAGGAGTATTTTGATGTGTTTGGGCATCTCAGTCGTCATTTCCCAGGGCATAGGGACTTAGTTGAGAGCTGGGATTTGCATCCTGCCTCCCTGCTGTACCTGCCCCAGGGTGTCTCCTTGAACTGGGGCTCCCCATTGTCCTCTTCACTGACAGCACACAGATTGGTGCATTGTGCCAGGGATCCAGCTGATTGCAGGTTGTGGAAAACAGTGAAATGTTGTAGGTAAGCTCTTCATTAAGTTGATTTCATGCCTTACAGATAGGTATTGATTTCCCATTTTGATACAGGCAAGTGAGATAGATAATAAAACAATGACATCTGCAATGGCTGTCCTTTTCTGCATGCTGCATTACATCCTCTCACTGCCTCAATCAGCCTTGTTCATAAAGGCTTTTAATAACTCTGGCAGTAATTAGGGCTCACTCTTATTGTGACCTTGTGAACTAGTCTGTCTCCTGCTGCAGCTGCATGAATGTTTCCCAAGATACGGATTTCCTGCCCTTCACAAACATTGTTATGTGATTTTGGTGTGGATTCATAGATCTGGACAATTATTTTCAGTAGGCAGGAACGTTAGTTCAGAATTCTGCTTTTCTTACAAACTGTAACATCAGGGAGGTATAATAAACGTGGTTGCCTTTGAGTGTCTTGTCTTTCTAACCCACATCCAAGTTTTGCCCAGAAAGGTGTTTTGCCAAGTGACCTGCTTTGACTCTCATGAGGAAAATCACTGCTCTCCTGCAAGGACACACAAAAGGCATCAGCACAAACAGGGCCAGCTCTTGGGTAAGGGGGAGTGATTTTGGAGGCTGTCCAGACCTCTGTTGGTAGCTACAGACCTCGGCCCCAGTGCACACCCACAACAACAGCTCTTCAACAGCTGTTGACTTCATCCCAGCTTAGATACATCTACTTACAGTAATTTTGTAAAGTTTTCAAGAGAGAAAAGTGAAATTCCACCAAGAAAGTGAAGTTTTCTCTCTCAGCTGGGGCTGAACTCCTACAGTTTGCCCTTCTGCATCTGTTAAATATTGTGGGCAAGTGATTAATGACTAAAATACTCCATCCAACTGCTCTTACAGGGAGCGGAGAACAATTTTCTCTCAGTAGCTCCTGGGTCCCTACTATAAGATGCCTTTGAGCGAGGAAGAACCAGAATTGTGCCATCTAGTGACCTGAAGAGGGCGGGCGTTTGTCCCTGGCCTCATCCTCATCCTCCCTGCACAAAAGTCTTCAACCCATAATGCAGAATTTTTAGATGACAATAAAAAACTCCACAGATTAATGAGCTTATCAATTATTTTCCCATCTTTCATGTCCAACCCTCCTGGCATTCCAGACTGATGCACTGTTATGGCTCAGCTGGCTTTGGTTTTGCTCTATTTTGCCTGAGAGCCAGTTTATGACTTTATTATGCAGCTCTTAATGTGTGGAGGTGAAAGTCCAGCCGTGTGCCTCACCACGTTCCCTTTGTCTTTTGCTTCCAGATGGTCACCAAACAATTAGCTCCTCTGCACTGCTCCCATTTCCCCCTCACAAGGCTTTCTGACAACAAGCTCCCACACAAATACATCTGCTTTCTACTGTTTTCTGATTTCTTTTTTCTAGAGCCTTTTGCCGTTTCTTGTCAAAGTCACCAGGAAATGTAAGTCAGAGGATGAGGGGCAGCCAGAGAGTTGCAGCAGAACAAGTGCTTTTCCAAAGTGGACTATAGTCTTCCTGGTGGTCTAGTGGTTAAGGGTGCGGCGCTGTCACCGCCGAGGCCCGGGTTCGATTCCCGGTCAGAGACACTCCCCGAGCAGATGGAGCTCGTCAGCCCTGTAAAGGCAATCCATCTACATCCTAAGGACCTCGCTGCCACTGTCCAAGCTCTGCTTGGCCCCGGCAGATGAACCTTAGGATTAAAGGGTGGGCTCAGTTCCGCGCACACTGTGTCTCACCTAAAAAATCCAATGCGCAGGCTGGAAGGTGTAAAGACCTTCTCCGGATCTTCGCTCGTGAAGACTGGCCATTATTATCATTATTTATTATTATAGTCTTCCTAAAGTGATGAATTAGAATTCCTCATAATTCTGGAAATATCAGACAATGCCCTCATTAAGATCTGAGTGCTTACAAAAACATAAATTACCAGGCAAAATCTCTGCTTTTGTAAGAATGGGATCACAGGTCTGGAGAAATCTTGTCCATTCTGCTGGAGCATTTTTGGGTAAGGGGGCGAGATGGGGGAAGCAGCTTTCATAGGCAACAGTAGGTCAGTGGAGCCACCCCAAATACATTTGTAGAAGGAAGAAACCAATCCTCTTCTCCATTTCAATGATCAAGCCAAAGACTAGGGCACTGCCCACTTATCCCTTTCTTGGGGTAGTCTTCTTCCCCACCCCAAGCCAGCAGCAAGATCAGTTTATGTTCCCCCCACAGCAAACCTACACCTTTTTGCAGAGGCCTCCTGGCCTTCAGCAGTTTTTGGAAGCTCCCGTGGCTCCTTTCATGTTGCACAGGTACTGCAGCTCACAGGTTCTCCCATGCTGAGGACTCCAGATGGAGCCTGATTTTGTGGCAGTCACTAGCTTACTTTACTACAAGCCACTTGTCCCAATTTCGATAGGATAATTTGATTCCTTTTGTGAATAACTAAAGCACCACAAACATGAAGCTGAACGCACTTGAATGCACACCAGCAGCAGGGAAACAAACCTGTTTCCACAAATGTTTCTGTGTGCTGAAAGCTTCGCTTGCCCTCTGTTGGGTGGCTGGGGAACGATTTACAGCCTTGGGAACGACTGGTCCTGGTGAAGGAGGGATGCAGAGAGATGGAGGCACTGAATCCAGAGCAGTCCTTGCTTGTTAGCCTTTCTAGCCACCTGATTAGAAGGTGACATTCAATGAAATTAAAGGCAGCAATGTATTTAGAGCCAAGCAATGAATAAGCAGGAGGTGGTAATGTTTTATGCAGCACACAATGCAGACAGCCTGTGGAGTTGACTGCCATGAAGGGGTCACTGAAGCAAACACAGTGTGTAGGTGGGAAGCAAGTGATGGCTGATTTAATGCCCACTAACAGGCTATGCAAGCTGAAGTGACAAACATAATCAAATCTCATGCTTCAGGGCATAAATTGAAGGGGTAGTGGTTATGTATGTAAAAGGTCTGATCCTGAGAGGTGCTGATTACCTGCAATGCTTGCTAAGTTCAGCCAGGAAAAGGACACTCAGGATTTGCTTGACTTATCCCCTGGCTGAGTCTGTGCTTGCTAATTTTCTTTATTAATAAACCCGGTAATACTTTAGCCTGCTGGCACAAACATTCATTTGGCTATAGCAACATTTATTTCCTTTCACACAAGAGTCAAACATTAAAGCTGCTTCTAAAATAAGATTTTAGAGAGATAATTTGCAGTGGTGCTGGTAAGGAATTTTCTCTCAAAATATGCTGTAATTCTTTATCTGGCAAAAGTACTTACACAGGATCATTATGAGAATATGTGAGCACTTGAAAACCCTTAGTGGATTTATATTCCCAGTTTTCTTTCTGAGCACAGGAAGAGGTACTAACTTTGCTCTACAGGTAGGGAGCTGCTCCATAGGCCAGGCTGTGGGCTTCCATTAGCCTTTTGGGGTACTAATTCAAGATGGATCCAGCTGCCCAGTTTGACCATAAGCTCATGGCTCCGTGGACATGCAGTGTATGGTGTGACATCTACCTTTTGCAGTGAGAGAGATCTGACTGCAGCCCCCCAGCCTTTGCCACTGAGAGAGCAGAGGCAGAGAGGTCAGGCAGGTTGAATTCAGCCTTCAGTGACCTGCCCATGACAAACAAAAGGAAATCTTTGCTTTTATCTGGAATATGGCTAAGGGGGAAATTTGGCATCTTTCCTCAGTAATTTGAGAACTAGTTGGGCTAATACCTCCTAGGAACGACTTATGTAGCACTGGTCCTGCTTGGGCATAAGGCAGTCTGGGTGGCTTCTTAAAGTATTTTTCCATTCTGTCTGCAGCGATCACTTCAAAGAAAATTACATTCTTTATCCTAATAGATTTATGTAGCTAAGTATCAAATACCTAAGCCCCTAATTCATGTCTGTGGGGAAATTCCACAAATGTCCTGGACCATTCAAAGCCTGCTGGTCTACAGTGCTAGAGCAAGAGTAGCTGCAGACAGTCACCATGGAATTAAGAACAGCTCAGATGAGCAAACTCACTTTTTTCTGTGTTCTGTAACCAGCTCCTGCCACTGCTGCTACTCATAATCCCTGTTTCTTGTTTTCTCTTCCCTGGCCATAAATTTGCTGTCCTTTTGCACTAGACAAATCTGATATGCCGTGCTAAATATTTTAAATGTGGCAAATGATCCTTCATCACAGAGTGGCATGATTGCATTACAATGTATTAGAACAACATGACTTTGCCAGAGGGTGTTTCTTGGCACCACGCCGAGTGAAGGAGGCAGCACAAGTTTGAGAAGTAACTATCAAGTCATTTATCAACATTCGGTCCTAAAACACATGAGGCTGCACCAGCTATAGCAGCCTTAGAGAGATAAATCTAGAGGCTGAGACAGAAACTCCAAACACAGACAGGTCTTTGAGGAAGCTTCTTGAAATCCAGAGCCATCAAAATGTCAAGCTGAGCTCCTGTGACAGATTCAACACATGCTTTTGGCATTTATTCTGTTGTATTTAGTCTCCTCTTTTAGGTTCAGATGAAATATGTGCTGCTTTTCAGTCTTTTGGCCAGCCTGTGGTAAGGGCTGATTTGCTCTCACACTCCTGTAGTGTGATGAAAGATCTTTGAAGAGCCAAGTGGAATCACTGCAAGCCAACATGTGGTGTCTAGAGCTTATTTTCCTTCATAACATCCTCATAGGATGGAGGCAACTCAGTTCCCCCAAGGCTGAACTGTGGGGCGGAAGAGGAGGACATCTCCGCAGTCATGCAGGGGTTCGGAGATCCAGAGAATGGGCACTGGGATGCTTCACTGGCTGGGGAAAAAGCAAAGTCACAACCATGCAGCAGACAGGCAAGGCATGAAGAGCAAGTGTGGGGGTGAGAGGGATGAGCCCAGGAGGAGCTGCCAAACCACTTGGAAACGAGAAAGGCATGGATGTAATTTTTGAAGCATGGCGTCACAAAGCCTTTCACCACAAACTCCAGATATAAGAAGTCAGGACAGAGGAATATGGGTGGGTTTGGGGTGGGTCCTCTCTGTGAAGACACTGCCCATGACCACCTAGAAAGCAGGTAATACATTCAATACATTCTCTGGGAAGGGCTTAGGCTAATAACAGGATGAGATTAATTCTTCTTGGAGGAATGTTGTCTGGCCCAGCCTGATGCTGCTGCTGACCATACTCCAGGTCAGTTATGGGTGTTATACATAGTCATTATAGCCCAGTCCTCAAAAGGCTGGGTGCTCCTGGGGGAATGCTGAGGGTGGCTACCACAATGAACAAAACCCACCAAGATAAACTTTTGACAGACCCCAGGGTGTATCAGCCAGTTGAGCTGCCTACTGTGGTGGTACAAGGTAGACCAGTGAAGTCTTGCCTGAGTGAGAAATGCAGGACACATGCTGGAAAGGGCTGCCTGACCCCAGCGCCTGTGTCTGCATGTTGGGCCACTGAGTGCCCAGCACTGAAGGAGAGAGTCCCACACACAGTGTGAGTCTGGCTACGCACCTTTGGGACATATGGACACACAGGGACTGCACCAAGTTCAGCTGAATGTAGGACTGGGGAAAAGTGGATGTGGCTTCAGCCCTCCAGTCCATGATCTGAACATGCCCCCAGGAAGCCTGAACTGGGCACCTCACTGTTCACTAGAACAGCTCCCACTCAAGCCTGGCCACCTCTTTCTGGGTTATGGATGGTCCACAGGAAGCCCACCAGGACCTTGCAGCAGGCAGAGACAGGACTAACCACAAAAGGTATCTGAGCTGCTGAGGGCGAAGACAGCCACGGTGCGTTGGTGGGGGAGGCAGCTCCGCTGTTTCAGCCAGCACTGCAGGCAGCAGCAGATCCCACAGGACAGGAGCAAGGCCAGGAAAAACAACATCAAGAACCTAAGGCAGAGGCAGCAGGGGAGGAACAGTACCATTACCATCTGCAGGCAGCACCGACAGATGGCTGCATGTCTTCAAATTAACATATTCATTAACATCTTTTGCAAATAGCCATTAAATGTTGCGGTTTCCCCACCAGCACACTGGACATGATCAAAGTCTCCAGAAACCAATGTCTCAGGCCTGAGTGCTCAGTGACAAGTGCTGGCTGGAAATTCAAATATTTCTCCCTGAAATCATCTATCGTTTTTTCCCAGCTCAGTTGTCAGCGTACAGTGAGGAGGATATGGATAAATGATTCCCATTAGTTTGTAAAGACAGAACACAGGGACAGCCCAGGAGCAATGCTCTCTAGCTATCAGTCTCTCTCAATGCCTTTCTCTCTATATATCCATCAAAGAATATTATTTGTCATTTTTTTCCCTCTAAAGCAGATCTGAAACTTACCATACATACCAGCTGCTAAAATTTTCATTGCTCTGTCTGACGCACCTAAAAAGGGAAAAATAAAAGGGACTTTCAGTCCAGCGTGAGAGGACTGTACCCACTCCAACACGTCTACCAACACAAAGAAAAGCGTCATCAGAAAGTAGAAGATTGAGAGTTTTCCTCCATCGAGGGAGCCCTATTAAAAGTTTCTCTATGTAGATGGGAGCAGATGCAGATGATGCACGAAGCAGAGTGCAACTGGTTTGCCTTTCAACACTGGCATCCGCCACCAGTGTTTTTGCTGAAAACTTAAAGGGTTGCCAATCTCCATTTCGTCTTTGGAAAAAATCTTCTAAATGGCCCTTTCCTGGAAGTGTTCATTCCTCTGCTGTGCTGGTGTGCCAGGCAGGAGCATGGCATCCCTGAGAGAGCCCAGGGTGGGGGCAGCCGTGGGTAAGAGAATGAAGCCACACTCACCTCTCGCCAAGCTCACAGTCCAACTCAGAGTCTGCCAACTGAAAACACACATGTAAATCAGAGAGGACAGATATGTGTTGGTTTTTTACAATTTACCAGTATAATTACTGTTCTTAGAGTGGGAAGTGCTAGAGGAAGAGTCGTCCAGGTGCTGGTCCTGCAGGGTTGAAAACCAGACCTCTCCCTAGGGACCATAGGGCTGAGCTCTTGCCCCTGTGGGTCTCTGCTCTTAGCCAGCTCATATGAAAAACAGCAGATAACATCACCAAGAGCTCAATAAATTCAGTAGTTTGCAGATGAAAGCTAGGCCAAGGAGAAAACATTCCTTTTGATGTGAAAGAGGGAAAGACAAGAGTAGGGAAACACCCACTGGAATCAGAGATCTGTTTACTGAACTGGGCTTTGCTGTTCAGAAATGTCTGCTGAAAATGTCCCAAGACCAAATTCTTGATCTGTGGCTCATTTTCCATCAGCTAATTGTGAATGCAGCTGTAAATAGGAGCTCTTTTGACCAGATGTGCGCTGTACCCAGCATTTCCCTGTTTTCAGATAGTGGTGGTGCATCATTCCCAGAGTCAGGTTTCAGGTACTGCAAATACGTGAACCTGAAACTTGTTTTTCAGGTATATTTTCTACTCTCTGCTCAAGCAAGTTTATTTTTGCAAGCCTTGTTGATCTTAGCCTCAGTTTCAGATTATCTGGGCAAAAAGTAACCAGAGTGGTTCATCAGTATAATTGAATCAAATTCAATAGAGTTTTTGGCTGACTTGTGTTAGGTGTGTTATAACAGTTGCCCAATGTTGCTACAAAAAATTCAGATGAGGTATAGAATTGCAATAACACTGGGAAACAGAATGAACAAGATAGAGGAATTTAGATTTCTTTATTTATTGGGAAAAAAAGTATTAGAATGTAATTTGTAAATCGTTAGTTTGGATTTCCCTCTGTGTATATCCAAAACATGTAGAGATTTCTGACTTTCTTTGAGTCCAACTAAAAAGCTCTGTTCTGAATTATAAATTTGTATCAAATAAATGTATAATTGAGAGATCTCATTTTACATTTCTAATTAATGGGACTTCTTTGGAGGGATTTTGTTATGCAAAGCTTGTGCCACTGTAAACAGCAAGAAATCCCCTCACAAATCTCTGTAATGTGTCTGATCCTGTGCACAAACTGCCTTTCCATCCCTAGTTTCACCAGAGATCTTTAGGTATAGTAAGTCTTTCATACAAAGCTCTATCTGTGAAATTTAATGAGTGGCTGAAACACAAATGAGGAATAGAGAAAAAGACAGAAGCTTCAACTCTTCCAGACGTGTCCTTTTAAAACTGAGCTAATTTGCCATGTCACCTGGTGCAGAATATTTTAATTTTTTTTTTTTTTTGCACTTCAACTGATTATTAAAATAACAGGTCAAAAGCAGATAGGTGGTTGCTGTGATTACATGTACCCTGAGTATTCTTCATGGCTGAATGACATCCTCTGGACTCTCTTTTATCATCTTTCAAACTACCTCAGCAGAGCCACCTTAGCATAGTTAAACTGCAGCAAAGTGCATCTGCTCTGAGGCAGTAATCTGTCAGAGCAGCCAAACACCCACCCCTGCTGCTAAAGCCCCAAGCTCATCTATTTCAATAGCTGTAGACAGAATAAAGGATTAAGGCAGTCATGTTTTCTCTGCATTAATTGAAACGATTGTGAGCATTATATCCTCCCCACATTCATCAGGTCCTCAAAAAAACCTTCACCAAAAAAAAAAAAAAAAAAAAGGGCTGATGACTAAATTCCATGAAAGTTGAAATCTTTCCCCCAGAAAATCTCTAAAATCAGCCTGGTCCCAATGAAGGGTTTGGTTACCTGGAAGAAGGTTAAACACAGAACTCCAGTTCCTGTGATCCATGAAGTGAAACACAAAGCTCCAGGTCTCCACATTACCAGTGCAAGAAACTTTTGAAGAGCTTTGTTTGCAGCAGTGTTTTATCCTCTGTAATTTGGTGCTTTTAAAACTCTGCACATTGTGCCTTCAGCCAGAGAACTTGTTACCCAATGGCTTCCTGCTCTTCAGAATTTACCGCTAGCCAGGAAGTGAATTTGGGTTTGCATGGACACAATCAGCTACTAGAAGTTAAAAGAACACTGGTTTAAGGTCAGCACCTTGCAGTTGTTTCGGTATTTTCATAGCTGTTCACAAATTCCTGCTGCTGAAGCTTAGTTCCATATTAACCCACGTCTGCATTTTACAGGACCTGCTACAAACAAAGAGTCACTGGAGTCCACGTGAGGCCATGCTTTCATTTCATGCTGCCTTCAGCCGGAGCACTGGCATTACAGAAAAAGGGAAGCTACCTCCAACCGTGTCCTATGCACTTGTGCCTACCACCTCAAACGAGCACCAAGGCTGAAGGAAACCCTTCCCAGCCAGAGGCAACCACCACCAGCACCCTCACTGCTGTTATACAGCTGCCAGAGTTTGGTTTGCTAGGAAAGTGCAGCCAAAAAAACCCACACATACCCAGTGATTCTCACAAGGCACATAAAATTTCATTGTGCATTGGTGGTTTCATAAGGACTGATTATATTCCTGTAGATACATCCAGGTGATGTGGTTAAACAGGGGTGGAAGATGGTTTGCACCAGAGCTCTGATCCCCTCAGAATGGACAATCCTGGTTTGTTCAGCAGTCAGTAATAGGTTGTCACTGGAGTTTACAGCCCGTGGCTGAAATGCACCATTAACTACAGTTGTTCCAGATTTAACACAAAGGGTGTTGCCATGAATTTGTTTAGTCCTCACTCCAGAGTTAAACATTATGTTGTGATGCCATTACTTCCGTAATGATTGACAAAGCTGAGCTGCTCTGGAGATGTACCTCTGTGGCTTTGCTTCAGCTGAAAGGTCAAGAAGTCTAACCAACTGTGATATACATACTCAACCAGGGTTTGTTATTTAATGTTCAAGTTTTGCATAAACCTAGGCCAAGCCATGGTGTTCTCGAATGTTTACTTTCAGCTCAGTACTAATGAAAGGTGAGCCTCTGAAACTACGCCCTCTGAGAAAGCATCTCTCATGATTTCGCTAAGTGCATGTGCTATGCAAAAGAAGTGGTCTGAACGTGCTGTCTTGCTTCAGACCAATCCTTTTCAGTGTTGTTCAACAATAAATTGCCAAACCAATTTCTTAGCTGTTTTCTTAAAAGAAAAAGCTCCTGCAGTATAAAAATGTGCACAGCCTTGCTGGAAATGGTGTGACTCTTACAATTTCAGGCTTCAAAGAGATCATCCATCATTGAACTAATTTCAGATTTCTTCCTCTCACAATTACTTCCCTAGCACCAGCACCAAGGATACTTCCAATTTAGAGCCACCAAATGGATCATGCCCAGTATTTTGGGGGGCAGGTATCCCAATGGGCTCCTGGTACTGAAAAATAACACATAGCATCTGTTCTGGGTCTGTTTATAGAAAAAAAAGGGAAAGGATTGAATTCTGCCACTGCTCAGCTTCCTGGTTTCGAGGCAAACTTTGATGTTTTCTGCTGGTTGGTCCCATGCAGAGGTTTCAAGTTATGATGGCAATTTGTGAAGCCTGTCCCTGCATTTTCTGTAATGATGTCAAGAGGAGAGTGCTGGCTTAAAGGGGGTCCATGAATAGCCCTGTCTTTTGCTTCAGGCATGATCCCTATATTGAAAAGAGCTGCTGCTTCAGCAGAAAACTCTCCCTGTCCATGAGCAGCTGAGCAGCTTGAATACATGAATATCATAAAGAGCCCCCAACACTTGCTCTAAGGCATTCAGGACCAGACACCAAAAACCCAGAGGAGCTCTACACTGAAACTCTCAGGGTGCTGTGGCCCCTCCTGCCACAGCTTCACTGCCTTTGGGGTTTTGCAAAACTGAGAGACCCACCCTCTGGGCAGCTCTGTGTCCAAGGGCTAGCTGCAGACTGAACAATTTTTTCTAGTTTTTTTCTCATGCCTTCCATGAGGAGATATATGCACACATACACAAATACAGCACCTGCTCCTTCCTCCTCTACTTACTGGATGAAAAGTTTGGTAACTCTTCCCTCCTCATTTATATCCACCTCATTTGTGGAGTTGGGAGGCTGCTCCCTGATAGATTTTAACTCGTGGCCATTAGATTATGGTTCTGTTATTTCCTCATCACCTTATGTCGTTGCTAGGTGACAAATGCATCTCCCAGGCAGCTACGGGGACTACCGCAACATACAGCAATTTATGACTGTCCATTATCTCTTTTCTTAATGTGCCCAGTCTTTTCAATGGGAGGAAGATGTGCAGTTCTAGAATCATCCAAAGGGTGACTTTTAGAGTTGCCACAGAAACCACCTCCATTGTGGGGCTGGCTCTTGCTAGACTTCACTAGAGGGGATGAAAACTTGTGACACAGGAGGAATTTGGAGAAGCTGATTTACCTTGTCAAGTCTGCCAGGGTCAAGGTTGGATTCAGCGTCTGAATTTCAGGACCTGAGCTCCAACTTGTATTTATGTGCACTTGAACTGATGGCCTTTAATTCCTTGAGTGTCATAGAATTAATTTCAGACATGCTTTTAGATTGAGACAAAAGTTTCAGGGAACCTCTCGATTTTGGTGAGAGTGGGAAGCAATTCACTGGCAAACAGGGGTCCACACAGAGCCCCTGGAACCTATAAGCCCAGCTAGCAGTTTAAACCTATTTAAAGCTCTTCCTTAGCTGCCTTCAGAGCATTTGGTGGCTGCTGGGGATTACTTTAGGGGAAAGCAACCACCTTGCTAAGCCCTGACTAGCCTCCCAGTACAGTCCAGAATGAGACTGTGAAAGACTTTTTCATAAGGCAAATAAGGAGAGTGGCAGGAGGAGAGGTGGGACAGACACAGGGAAGGACATGGAACAGAATGGAGAATGTGCAGAGATGTGATGTGGAAGGGAGACAAGATACAGGAGGGTGGCCCTGCTCTCTAAATTAAGGTCAACTGACTAGAGTTAAGTAAGCAGATGCTGGCTTTTTTATGCTGCAGTGTTTTCACATCACCACCACAATAAATTCTTCCTCCAAGTTCAAGGCCACTGGGATCTCTCCTCTCCCTACTCAACTTCACTGCCATGGCTGTCTCACCTGCATCCCTGACATCTACGCTGCCAGGCTACCATCATCCCTCCTGGCCTGTCCTGGGAAGACTCAGGGCGTGTAAATTGTAAATTCAGTTTAGACAAAGAGAAAAGCAGGGTAATAGGGAGAACTGAGGACTGAGGTTGCTTCTCTGCAACAGGAGAACTAAAGCAGCTTTGGTCTCATCCTCACTAAATGAAGGCCACAAGGAGCTGCTCGCTCCCCCTGCACACACTGAGAGGACTAAATCCAGCACTGGGGAGAGCTATTTAAGCTAATGGCCAATGCTGGCACGGGAACAAATGGAAGCAAACCAGCCATGAATAAATTGAGGCTGGAAATGCAAAGAAGGTTCACCCCATCCGGAGCAGAGAGGTTGAGCAGCAGCTTGTCCGTGGGTAGAGTGTGGGCATGAAACCAAATGGCTCCCGGGATGCAAGTCATCGAGCTTCCACAGGAGATGTAACCACTTCAATGGGACTTGCTGACCCAGGGAGCCCTTTCCCACCTCATGGAGCCACTGCAGTCGGTTCGTAGACCCTCAAACCCATCCACATGCACAGGAGTCAGCCAGCATGACCCCAGGCTTGAGTGAGTGAGGAAGGATGAACACTTTAAAGCAAGCCCTGGTAGAGCTGGCACGGCCTGTTGTCTTTCAAAAGGATTATAACTAGTTGCTGCTCGCTGATGAATACGGCCCTTTGTGAGCCTGTGCGGGGGACGTGCTGCACAGGAGGAAGGAAAGACTCGGGCACTGATTTAAATGAATGCAAACAAGGATGACATTGTTCTGCTGCATCCTCCCCAGGAGCAAGGCTTGGAGGCTTCAGAGGTCACCCCTCAGATCTGATGCAACTGCAGCTACCTTGTACCTCTGGATAGACCAGAGAGCCCTTTTGTTTGTTTTGGTGTATCAGTAGGGAAAATCTAGCAGAGAATGGGGTCAGCGAAGCCCTTTGCCTGGCAGAAAGCTAAAGGAAAAGGAATCTCCTTTAGGTTAGTAATTTGTAAAAGAGATTTCTCCTGTATGTGCATGCATATCCTTGACTGAGAACTACAGAAAACTCTTCAATACATAACTGTTCATACATTCATGGGAAGTCAAAACTTTAAAACTATCCAAAGTATAAAGTCCATTGATGTGTTGTGAGAAATCACTGTGAATTATCCAAATGCTGCTGTTCCAACCCTATAATGAACACTTGAAATAAATACTGTGACAACTGAAATATTAAGCTTCTATAAAAGGATTTGGGCAGGAGCATTCTTGCTCTGGAATTCACAGTGACTTTGAGAAGTGCACCTTTCTAGCAAACATCTTGTGTATGCTGATGACTGGTAATGACTCTGCTCTCATCATTAAATACAGAAATAGGTGTGCAGTGTTTTTCTGAGAGCTGTGTTGTGGTGGGGCAGGGGAAAGCTGAAAATAATTAGGAAAGTGGGGATTGTCCCTATCCCTCAAAGTTGATAGTTTTTTTAAAAAATTAAGATGGACCCTAAAAAAAAAAAAAAAAGTGCCTAAATAACAGGTTTTGGGCTAAGCCTAGCAGTTGTTTAATTTTATGGGAGAATTCAGCACTCAGAATTACATTTTAAGATCTGCTGCATCTGAGAAATAAATTGTAGTTGGGCTTGTGTTATTTCTCGCTTGGACACTAGGACATGAGATAATCCCCAGCCCTACCACTTCCCAAATACCCATGAACTTCTGTGTATTACAGTCCACCTGAAAAAAGAGCTTAAGAAACGTTTCATCTCTCTATCTCTCCAGATACCACTAGACCTCCCACAGAGCTTGTCAGAAATCAGTTCAAAGGGCTGGATAACCC